GAGCCCCTACAGTGCAGCTAGTCTGAATTAGATGTGCTGTAAGTATAAAATACAGGCTTGATTTCGAAGACATACTACAAGAAAAAGGAATGCAAAATACCTAACAATTTTTAATGTCGATTAATATTGAAATGATAATATTTAGGATATATTGAGTCAAATACATTATTGGAACTAATTTCACCTATATCTTTTAATATTTTTAAAATGTGGCTACTAGAAACTTTATTTTATTTTATTCTGGAGACGGAGTCTCACTCTGTCACCCAGGCCACAGTGCAATGGCGTGATCTCAGCTCACTGCAACCTCCGCTTCCCATGTTCAAGCGATTCTCCTGCCTCAGCCTCCCAAGTAGCTGGGATTACAGGCTCCCTCCCACCACCACGCCTGGTTAATTTTTGTATTTTTGGTAGAGATAGGGTTTCCCATGTTGGCCAGGCTGGTCTTGAACTCCTGACCGCAGGTGATCTGCCCACCTCAGCCTCCCAAAGTGCTGTGATTACAGGCGAGAAACTTTAAAATTATATATGTGGCTCACTTTATATTTCTAATGGACAGCACTGCTCCAGGTGATTCTGATACATGAAAGGCTGAGAATTCCCCACTCATAGTGCACCAGAGCAGGTCTAATTTAAGGCACTTCCCAGCTCTTGAATCTCTCTGTCACCTAAATACTTTGATGCCTCTCCAGTACCACCGCTATCTTCCTTATTAAGGAGCAGGCCTAGAGAAGCATACGTTTTTATCAGGCTTAGGATAAAAATCCTTAGGTTTTTTTGGCCAAAGGGCCTCACTTTCCCCAAGTAAGATCTTTCCAAGAGACACTAGCTATTCAACACTTATGCTGCACTCAGCATTTTGTATACCTTAACCCTTTTTATTTATTTATTTATTTATTTATTTATTTTTTATCTTTTGAGACAGAGTGTCACTCTGTCTCCCAGGCTGGAGCGTAATGGTGCAATCTCAGCTCACTGCAACCTCCGCCGCCTGGATTCAAGCAATTCTTCTGCCTCAACCTCCCAAGTGCCTGGGATTACAGGCACCTGCCATCATGCCTGGCTACTTTTTGCATTTTTGTAGAGATGGGGTTTCATCATGTTGGCCAGGCTGGTCTTGAACTCCTGATCTCAGGTGATCCATCTGCCTTGGCCTGCCAAAGTGCTGGGATTACAGGCATGAGCCACCATGCCCGACCTTAACACATTTATCCATCACAAAAACCTAGTGTCCTAGGTCCTACAGTCCTAATATTATTCTCATTTTACAGATGAGGAAATAGACTTCAGATTATTAGCTGTTGATCACAGCTAGTAACTGAAAGAACGAACATTTCACTTAGGAAAGATTCAAGATTTGAACATCAGCAGGCTTCCATTACCAGGCGGGCCTTAATCATGACCCTTCACCACCAAAAAAGTAAACCCCTCTCCGGAGACAGCGAGTGAGCAAAAAAAATACAGCTCTTCTTATACTTTCCATGCACACATGTTCAACTGTGACCAATTCAGAAGTGGAAGCACCTTGGCTTTGTTTATTTCTGTGGTTCCATTTGTAACATGGGAAGCAGCTAGGTGATTAGAGTTAGGATTAGGAGAAAAGGCATGTCACCTGAACTGATTCCATGTCTGGAGACTCAGCCACCACCATTTAGGGAGGTGTGATATTGCATGTATTCCACCCACACCACAGTTAATACAGCTTTATCACAGCTTATAGTTAATGAGCTTCTCCAGCACATTTTGGGTGAGGTCAACTCTTGATATATTTCATGAATTCCCAAACTGATTAATCACTCATCTGTGCAATCATTTGCATTCTAAGTCATAACCTAGGGTAATTCATGAGGCCTGGTGCCAGCATTTGGTCTTATTTAATTGAACCCAAAAGCCTGTGATACAGGCATATGGGGACCTGAGGCCACAGGCCGCAGAGCCAGTGAGCACTGGAGGCTTGGCCACAGCCACAGAGCCAGTGAGCACTGGAGGCTGGGCCTTGTGACTGCTTGTCTCATACTCATCTGGGCTGGCACCTGCCTTTATTAATTATTCCCAATATACACACTCATTTTGGTCGCCTCTCATAGGCCATATTTAAGTCAATGACCACATTGCTGAGGTCCTGATCAGTCCTTGTTTGTAATTTTCTGCCCCTAATCTTCCTCCCTTCTCGAGGCTAAATGAGGGTTCTCAGCTCTATTTAATTGGTCCTATTTGATTAAACACATGTGAACAGTTCTGTTAGTTCTGTTACTCTTTTTTTTTTTTTTAAGATGGAATTTTACTCTTGTTGCCCAGGCTCGAGTGCAATGGCATGATCTTGGCTCAATGCAACCTTCGCCTCCCAGGTTCAAGCGATTTTCCTGCCTCAGCCTCCCAAGTAGCTGGGATTACAGGCATGTGCCACCACACCAGGCTAATTTTGTATTTTTAGTAGAGACAGGGTTTCACCATGTTGGTCAGGCTGGTCTCAAACTCCTGACCTCAGGTGATTCACCCGCCTTGGCTTCCCATAGTGCTGGGATTAGAGGATTGAGCCACCATGCCTGGCCTAGTTCTATTGCTCTTTCTAAGAAAGAGAAAGGAGAAGGCACATTATAAGGGTGGAAGAAGAAACATCAGGGTAGGAGTCCAATTAGGAGGAACTGGTGTCAATACCCAGTTCCAGGACTCCCTGGCTATGTGATTTTGGAGACGTCACTTGCTTCCTCTGAGTGTTGGTTTCCTGACCTATGAGTAAATATCAGATGGTCTCTTCTACACTGAAGGATACAATGAAAGACAGGGCTGAGGCAGAGAGAACGGTCCCTTTTTCCACTTCCAAGAACTTGGCTTTCCAATTCTTTGCCATACCTGGGTTTTAGGACCCAGATCTCCATGTGGACACAAGAAGAAAGGAATTTGTTTGCCCCTTCTCTCTCTCCCTCTATGCCCCTTTCTGTAGAACAGAGAGGCCATGGACGGGTGGACCCAGTATCAGGAAAACAGTAGGTGTTTTTGAAAGGGGAAGGGATGGGAAGTGGAACAAGACCCATCACATAAATTAACAGAGGTTCAAAATCTGAATAAGAAATCAGAATACTGGCCGGGCACGGTGGCTCACGCCTGTAATAACAGCACTTTGGGAGGCCGAGGCGGGCGGATCGCTTGCGGTTAGGAGTTCAAGACCAGCCTGGCCAATATGGTGAAACCCCGTCTCTACTAAAAATACAAAAATTAGCCAGGTATGGTAGGGGGCACCTGTAATCCCAGCTGCTCGAGAGGCTGAGTCAGGAGAATCGCTTGAATCCGGGAGGCAGAGGTTGCAGTGAGCCAAGATCGTACCACTGCACACCAGCCTGGGCATCGCAATGAGACTCCGTCTGGGGAAAAAAAAAAAAAAAGAAATCAGAATATGGGCAAATTAGGCATAAACAAAGATGGAAAGAAGAGGTCTTATTTTAGTGACCTTACAATAGTGGTTCTCAACTGGGGGCCATTTCCCACCCCTAAGGGACGCTTGGAAATATCTGGAGACATTTTTGGTTGTCACAACTGGCAAAAGATGGGGACAGGGCTGGGGAGTCTGCTGCTGGCGTCTAGTGGGTAGAGACTGGGGATGCTGCTAAACACCCTAGAAGGTATGGTACAGCTCCCCATGACAATTATTCAGCCTATGTTAGTTTGCCAGGGCTCTTCAAAAGACAAAGCAATAAATTTAGTTATAGTCTAATTGGCTTTTAATCAAGATTCATGAATCAGGGCAGCCTCTGTTTTCCAAAACAGAATGAGAGTTCCCACTGGGCAGTAGCACAATGGTAAGTTTTATAAGGAAACAGAACAATACGAAAAAAAAAAAAGATTAATTTACGTCAGGTTATTTTTTTATAAGGGTTCAAGCAGAGGGAGCTTCCTTATTCTCTGACTCAGGTAGACTGGAATCTCCTGTTTTCAGGAAAAACTGTCTTGTTCTGGGATCTATCTCCTTCCTTAAAGATTCAGTTTGATTACATGCCATTTAGCGTGAGTGACTCCATTTTGGTTTCGTCTGGTCTGCTGGGGTCTAGTGCAGGAGCTCAGTTCAGAATAATGACCTGCTGTTATTTTTGTTGAACAGGCTACTCTTACAACATACCACAGACTGAGTGGCTTACACCACAAAAATTTATTGTCTCATAATTCTGGAGGCTTAAAGTCCAAGGCCAAGATGTAGACAGAGTTGGTTCCTTCTGAGGCCTCTCTCCTTGGCTTGCAGATGGCTGTCTTCCCCTATGAATTGTCATGGTCTTCCCTCTGTGTGTCTGGGTCCTAATCTCTTCTTATAAGGCCACGAATTATAGTGGATGAGGGCCCACTCTCATGACTTATTTTAATTTAATTATCTCTTTAAAGATCCTTTCTCCAAATAGAGTTACATTCCGAGATATTAGGGGTTAGAATTTCAATATATGAATTTTCGGGGAGACAATATTTAACCCATAACATGGCCCAAAAAAGTCAATGGTGCCAAGGGTGAGAAACCCTTTCTCAAGGGTGAGAAAACACTGGTGGTAGCTGGCAGATCTTAGAGCAGGATAGTAAACCTTTTGGTCAAATTAAGGGCTTTTGGAGATTCTCCTAAGACTGAGCTGAAATTCCTCCTCTTTTTTTTTTTTTTTTTTTTTTTTGAGACAGAGTTTTACTCTGTTTTCCAGAGTGGAGTGCAGTGGTGCAATCACAATCTCGGCTCACTGCAACCTCTACCTCCCAGGCTCAGGCGATCCTCCCACCTCAGCCTCCTGAGTAGCTAGGACTACAGGCACATACCACACCTGGCTAATTTTTGTGTTTTTAGTGGAGATGGGGTTTTGTTATGTTGCCCAGACTAGTCTCGAACTCCTGACCTAAAGTAATCCTCCCTCCTTGGCCTCCCAAAGTGCTGGGACTACAGGCATGAGCCACCACGCCTGGCCTGAAGTTTCTCCTTTGATGTGTCTTCTCTGCCTCCTGTTGATGTTGCTGTTGCTGTGTTCTCTCTTTAGATTGGAGCCCATTGGTGCAGCCGCCAGCAAGGAATACTCTCTGGAGAAAAACTTGGATAAAATGAAGTTAGATTGGGTTAACGTGACATTCAGCTTCGTGAAATACAGGGACACTGTGAGTCTCACTCCAACTGCAGCCCCCCTTGAAAGCAGCCCCATTTGTTATGCAGTAGATTACAGAAACAATTCATTCAGAACGGCGACAGAAGTCACAGAGGAATAATCGCTCACGTCTTGGTTTCCTCCTGTCTGCCTTTCTGTGTTGCTCATCTTTCCTCTCAGCACCACCAAAGAGACGCATTCTTCAAATCAGAAAGGCCTTTTGATTCGGAGCAAGAAGTTTTCTCAGTGCAAAAGAACCAAGCAAGTCTCCTAAATCAGCACCTCCCAGTGAAGGTGCAGGCTTGCACACCATTCCAAAGCTTCCCAGTCCCCTCAGAAGCACAGCAGCAGACAATGACTAGTGTTTCTCAGATATCGATGCTTGCAGGAATCACTGGAGATCTTGTTGAAATGCCGGTTCTGATTCAGCAGGTCCAGGATGGGACCTAAGATTCTGCAGCTGTAACAAGCTCCCAGATAATATTGATCAATTTTGAATAGTAAGGGTGTAGATTTCTTTCTTTTCACTTGCACTTGTAGAAAACACAGGAGTTTGTACAGTGCATGCGAAGGTGCATACCCCTGAAGCGTTTGCTCAGCTGTCTTTAGGGTCTAGCTTGCTTTGGGGATAGAGTGTGAGGTAGGGATGAGAACTGCAGCTCTGGGGGAGCTATAAATCATGGAGGCAATAGGTTGATACACACATCCTGCAGACCATTGGTTCTTTTTTTTTTTTCTTTCTTTTTTTTTTTTTGAGATGGAGTCGCGCTCTGTCACCCAAGCTGGAGTGCAACTGTGTGATCTCAGCTCGCTGCAACCTCTGCCTCCCGGGCTCAAGCGATTCTCATACCTCAGCCTCCTGAGTAGCTGGGATTATAGGTGCCTGCCACCACACCCAGCTAATTTTTGTATTTTCAGTAGAGATGGGGTTTCACGATGTTGGCCGGGCTGGTCTTGAACCCCTGACCTCAAGTAATCCGCCCGCCTCGGCCTCCCAAAGTGCTGGGATTACAGGCGTGAGTCACCATGTCAGGCCCAACCATTGATTCTTAAAGCAGCACTTCCAAACTTGCATTGTAGAATCATCTGAGATGCTTTAAAATCTCCCAATGGATTCTTCCTGGCTCCTCCCCTCCCAGAATGCCTAGGTGTCTGTATTTTTAAGGCACCCCTGGTTTTTCTCATGTGCAATGTGGATTGAGAACCAAAAGCTCCCAAGCCTCCCTCCTCCCCCAGGCTGCATATTATCTACTTGTGACTTCTTTCCCTATTCAGCTTAAAAGAGCTGTAGGGATAAAAAGATGTGATCCCTTTCTTCACCTAGCATGAAGGTCATTCATGGCCAATACTCCTATAAATATAAAGACAGATTAACAAGATAAAAGCATTAAAATTTTATTTATTCAAAGTTTTACATGACATTGGAACCCTCAAAACTGAAGACCCAAGGAAAACTGTATTTTTGGACTTAGGTTTGATGAAGAATGGACAGCTGTATGGAAATGAAATTGAACAAAAGAGTGTGGTATAATGGTCTAGACTGGGTGGAAGCCTAGCGAGACCTGCCTGTTCAGATTCTTCTTGGTCTTTCTGTGTAGCAGTCCTTCCTCCCAGGCATAGGGCAAGACCCCTCAGGAACAAGGGTCTTGTGACCCACTATGGGACAAGGTTGCTCAGAGAATTTCCTTATGGCCTGCTGTCTTGGTCAGAGTAATATTTCTGGGTTTTATGGCTTGCTTCGGGAAAGAGGAGTTTAGTTTCTATGGACTGCCTTAGGGGAAAGATAAAGGAGCAGGAGAAAGGAAGAAAAAGATGAACAGAAAGATCTTGCTTCCAAGGCTTCCCAATGTCCTTCAGTGCAAAATACTCAGCAAATCAAGGTGCAATGCTTCGGGGTATTGTGGTGTTCTGAGCCCCAACGGAACTATACATGATCCAATGAGAGGGAAGAGAGCTGAGGGTACAGGGCCTCATTACTGAGCCTCTCCCAGCAAGGGTGACCCTGCCACCATGGGTCTCAGAAGCGTGCCTACATGATCAGCTTGGATTAGACACTGCTGTAGAGGCTGTTGGGGTGACAAGAGGAGTGTAAGCTAGGAACCTGGGGAACAGTTCACTTATACCTGGCCAGTCTGCAGAGTTTTTGCCTAAAGTAACTATAGGCAAGGATCAGTAGCTAAATGGGGATCAAGAAACCACTTTATTAATAGCCCAGCACACCTCCCAGTGCTGAGCTACTGGTAAAACATAGATAAGAGAATACATGCCAGGCCCAATTTAGCCTCCTAGATTAGACTTGAAAGAAGTGAGAACAGAGCAAGAAAGACCAAACCTGCCCCAGGGGTCAGACCCTTGTCAGCTTGCTTGCCACAATGGCCCAGGAGAAAAAGTGCCAACCACAGGGCCTGGCCTTTAAGGCACACCTTAGACTTTACCTACTAGTAAAACAGGACCACTTGGTCAGGCTTGGTAGCTCACGCCTACAATCCCAGGACTTTGGGAGGTACAAGTGAGAGGATCACTTGAGCCCAGGAGCTCGAGAACAGCCTGGGTAACATAGCAACACCTCATCTCTACAAAAAAAAAAAAAAAAAATTAGCTGAGTATGGTGATGTGCGCCAGCTACTTGGGAAGCTATTTGAGAAGCTGAGGCAGGGAGATTGCTTGAGCCCAGGAATTTGAGGCTGCAGTAAGCTATGATTGCAGCATTACACATTACACTCCAGCCTGGGTGGCGGAGACCCTGTCTCAAAAAAGACCCAATAAATGTATAAAACAAGCCAGGCATGGTGGCTCACGCCTATCATGCTTGTAATCCCAGCATTTTGGGAGGCTGAGGCAGGCAGATCACTTGAGGTCAGGAATTTGAGACTAACCTTGCCAAAGTGGTGAAACCCCATCTCTGCTAAAAGTACAAAAATTAGCCCAGCGTGGTGGTGCTTGCCTGAAATCCCAGCTATTCGGGAAGCTGAGGCAGGAGAATCAATTGAATCCGGGAGGCAGAGGTTGCAGTAAGCTGAGATCATGCTACTGCACTCCAGCCTAGGCGACAGAGCAAGACTGTCTCAAAAATAAATAAACAAATAAATAAATAAATAAATAAATAAATAAATGAAACATAGGTCCCCAAACTTTCTTGGTTCACAATGCCTTTGTGTCTAATTACTTTTTTCACAGTGCCCTTAGGCCAAAAGAAATACCTAATGGCTTTGTTTATGCAGTAATTAGGTCCAAACAATTTAATAAGGATTTATGCTCTAACAACTTAGCCACTGTTTGAAAAAAATACACCTACAATAAAAGAAAAAATAATGGTTGTATTTTATTTTTAAATAACCACAATCATTTACTTTGAGTTGGCTGCGGTGCCCCAGGGCACTTCAGTTCACAGGGTGGAAACCGCAGGTCTAGGCCTAACTAGTCAGATTAGCAGCTGATCTTCCTACCGGAGGGAAAGGAGAGCCAGGAAAGCAAGTGGAGAAGCAGGAACACAGGGAAAGGGGCAGAAATCTTCCTCCCCAGCAAATTCTATCTGTGAGTCTTGGATTAGACTGTATTTGACTTCTGCAAAGGAGGTGGACAATAAATGTCTTTTAAAAAAATTTTTTAGAGATGGGGTCTTGCTATGTTGCCCAGGCTGGTCTTGAATTCCTGGGCTCAAGCAGTCCTCCTACCTCAGCCTCCCAAGGAGGCTGAGATTACGGGCATGAGCCACCTTGTCCAGCCTAAATATCTTTAATGACATTTTCAAGGAAGAAAGTAGAAGTCCTATCCCCTGCAAGACATAGATTCCTACCCCATGAGAGTGGAGTTCTGAGCTGTGAGGTCCTAAGGGATCAGCATGAAAAATGGGGAGGTGGCTGGATGCAGTGGCTCAAGCCTGTAATCCTAACACTTTGGGAGGCTGAGGCAAGAGGATCACTTGAGGCCAGGAGTTCGAGACCAGCCTGGGCAACAGTGAGACCCCATCTCTTAAAAAAAAATCCAAGCTGGGCACGGTGGCTCATGCCTGTAATCCCAGCACTTTGGGAGGCCGAGGCGGGTAGATCACCTGAGGTCAGGAGTTTGAGATCAGCCTGGCCAACATAGTGAAACCCTGTCTCTACTAAAAACACAAGATTAACTGAGTATGGTGGCATTTGCCTATAATCCCAGCTATTCGGGAGGCTGAGGCAGGAGAATCACTTGAACCCAGGAGGTGGGCGTTGCACTGAGCTGAGATTTCACTGCTGCCCTCCAGCCCAGGCAATAGGAGTGAAACTCTGTCTTAAAAAAAAAAAAAATCCAGGCATGGTGGCATATGCCTGTAGTCCTACCTACTTGGGAGGCTGAGGCAGGATGATCCCTTAAGCCCGGGAGTTTGAGGCTGCAGTGAGCTAGGATTGAGCCATTGCACTCAGGTCTGGGTGAAGAGACCCTGTCTCTAATAAATATATTTTTAAAAAAGGAAAAAAAAAAAATGGGGAGGTTTCACAATTTTGACAAGGTGGGGCGTCTTTGTTTACAGGATACAAGCATCTTGTGTGCAGTTGATGACATTCAAATGCTACTCGATGATCACGTGATAAAGACCCAGACCATGTGTGGCTCCCCATTCGTCAAACCAATAGAAGCAGAATGCCGGGTAAGAGGAAATGAAGTTGAATGCTTTGAGATGTTTCATTAGCCCTGCGTTTCTCAGAGGAGGGGAAGGGTTTTCAAGTTCAGTTAACAAAGAAAGTTGCTTTGTCCTAATTGGAAAAAATAAATAAATAAATGACACAGTGGCTCACACCTGTAACCCCAGTACTTTGGGAGGCCGAGGTGGGCAGATCACCTGAGGTCAGGAGTTCAAGACCAACCTGGCCAACATGGTGAAACTCTGTCTCTACTAAAAATACAAAAATTAGCCAGGCGTGGTGGCAGGCGCCTGTAATCCTAGCTTCTTGGGAGGCTGAGACAGGACAATCACTTGAACCCAGGAGGTGGAGGTTGCAATGAGCCGAGATCGTACCATTGCACTCCAGCCTGGGCGACAAGAGTGAAACTCCGTCTCAAAAATAAATACATTGATTAATTAATGACAAAAAACTGAAAGCAATAACCATCCAAATAAGCATATGGCATGCTGAGCCTTTGCAACTGTCTGCCAAAAGAGAAGATGAGATTTGAATGCACCAAATACACGTGCATTTGGGAAGCATCTTATGGGCTGTGGTACTCTAGAATGTAAGCTACCTGAAGGTAGGGGTTTGGCCTCCTGTGCCCATTGTTTGGAGCAGTGACATGGGCTAACGACACAAACTCTGAAGCCAGATGACCTGGGTTTGAATTCTGGCTCTGCTCCTTATTAGTGATGTGACCTTGGGCACATTACTAAACTGTTGTGTTTCAGTTTCTACATCTGGAAAATGCGGTTTGTAATCACATCTACCTGGTAAGGCTGTGGGATTAAATTGGTTCCATATACTTAAAGCACTAGACCATTGCTTGTCACAGATTATGTATATAACTATTATAATTATTCTGCTAGAACGTGAGCTCCACAGTGGGCAAAGTTCTCATGTGTTTCATTCATTGCTATGTTCACATCACCTGGAGCAGTGAACAGAGAACAGGGCGACGTCAATAATTATTTGTTAAACAAGTGACTGACTGAATGAATAAATGTATGTCTCCATCCATTTGCTTGGTCCATGGGCCTGTGATGCAGAGTGTCAGGTTAATGATTCAGGTATGAAATGCTAAATTCACAGAAATGGGAAGAAAAGCTAATTCGCATACAAGACAATTTGGATGCCTGGTTGAAATGCCAAGCCACCTGGCTGTACCTGGAACCAATCTTCAGTTCGGAGGACATCATAGCCCAGATGCCAGAAGAGGGGAGGAAATTTGGCATTGTTGATAGTTACTGGAAATCACTTATGTCTCAAGCGGTAAGTTTTTATACCCTAATAACTCTTACCAGCAGAAATACAAGTGTTTCCTCATTATGCATTCTAGTCACCCTCCTTGAAACTTATAAATGAACTGGAGTTTTGGAAAATCAATCTTTTTGTATCTTCTTCTAATTTCAAAAGTTGTTATTATTAAAAATGCAAACATATGACTGGTGCGGTGGCTCATGCCTGTAATCCCATCACTTTGGGAGGCCAAGGCAGGTGGATCACTTGAGGTCAGGAGTGCCAGAACAGCCTGGACAACATGGTGAAACACCCCATCTCTACTAAAAATACAAAAAAAAAAAATAGTATATATATATGTGTGTGTGTGTGTATGTGTATATATGTGTGTGTGTATATGTGTATATATACATATATATACATGTATATATATAGATATATATACATGTACATACTATATATACATATATATGTGTGTATATATACGCGCGCGTGTGTGTGTGTGTGTGTGTGTGTGTGTGTGTATATAAGCCAGGCATGGTGGTGCATGCCTGAAATCCCAGCTACTCGGAGGGCTGAGGTGGGAGGATCGCTTGAACTCAGGAAGTGGTGGTTGCAGTGAGCTGGGATCGTGCCACTACACTCCAGGCTGGGAGAGTGAGATTCTGTCTCAAAAAAAATTAAAAAAAAAAAAAAAGCAAATACAAATACATAAGATAGAAAGTAGAAGCCTTTTGAAATCCCACTTCCCAAGCAGTAACTATAGGCAGTTTGTATTATTTAACTGTCATTTCTTATGAGGTTTTATTTGTTGCAGGATAATACAATAACACTTTTATAGCTTGAGAATCCTTTTAGAATTCCAACAATTATCCACATTTGGTTACTCAGTTATTTAACAAATGTTTATTCAGTACCTACAATGACCCAGGTGTTATACTAGAAATCAGAAAATACTTGAAGGTGGCAAGAATATGATTTCTGTCTTCGTAGAATTTGTTGCCTTGGCTGAGTGCGGTGGCTCACGCCTGTAATTCCAGCACTTTGGGAGGCCAAGGCAGGTGGATTGCTTGAGCTCAGGAGCTGGAGACCAGTCTTGGTAACATGGTGAAACCCCGTCTCTACTAAAAATATAAAAAATTAGCTGGGTATGGTGGCATGCACCTGTAATCCTGGCTGTTCCGAGGCTGAGGCAGGAGGATCCCTTGAGCCTGGGAGGCGGAGGTTGCAGTGAGCCCAGATTGCGCCACTGCACTCTAGCCTGGGCAACAGAGTGAGACTCTGTCCCCCACACCCCCCCAAAAAAGTAATATACAAATAGTTATTAGAATACGGAAGAGTGATTTGGTTGTCTTAGGGTGTCAAGGAAGGCCTCTAAAGCAGGAACATTGGGATCAAGCCTTGAAGGATAGTAAGTTCATTGGGTGTGCAAGGCACCTAGAGGCATCTTTTATGAGGTCAAATCATTTTCCTTTTTTAAGTCAAGTGTGATCAAATTGGGGTGCACTTAAAAAGATTTTGCCGCAAGGGCATTTATCTTCCCTGCTTTGTTTGCGAGGGTGAGATAAATGGGAATTTAGATTGTCCAGCCAGCATAAGCCAATTCTTTATTAGTTAAGGTTCTTTGGGTGCAAGTGACAGAAACCAACTCAGGATAGCTGAAACGAGAAGACCAAACTGGTGTCTCATGGAACCCAAGGCCAGATAGCGCAGCCAAGCCTCACAAAAGATGGATCTAGGACCCAGAAGCCTCTTCTCTTAGGAACTCCTTCCATCTCTCTGAGCTCAGCTCCTCTTTCCTGGCCTTGCCTTAGTCTCTCTCTCTCTCTCTCTCTCCCACCCCCGTCTCTCTCTCTCTCTCTCTCTCCCCCTCTCTGTCTCTCTCTCAAGACTAGCTTGCTCTACCATTCCATCACACAGAGAGACATAATCCTCACTCAGCCCAGACTAGTATAGAATGTCATGGTTTGGATTCTAAACTCCCTGGGTTAAAATATGATTGGGCTTGATTGGTTTCAGGTACCCAGTCCCTGCCCAGTCAACCGTGATCAGAGGAACAAGGTCATGTTCCATGAACATTCACCCCTGTGCAGTTAGGAAGGGGATCAGGAGGCAGTTAGCTGGACAAGGAGTGCTGTCAGTTGATAGGTCACACATTCATTACAATGACCAATGTCAGAACTTGGGAACCTCATGATGAGTCTCACCTTTTTTAATGGAACCCAGGTGAAAGATAACAGGGTTCTGGTGGCAGCCGACCAGCCACGGATGGCCGAGAAGCTTCAAGAAGCCAACTTTCTCTTGGAGGACATCCAGAAAGGGCTGAATAATTACTTGGAGAAGAAGAGACTATTCTTCCCCAGGTATCCAGCATTGTTCTTTTACTTGGAATTACATTCTTGCCCCGTATGTAGGTAGAATTCCATTTTTCATACCAAGAGTTGACTTCAACCAATCTAGTCTATACTCTTTCCTGGTTTTCCATTCTCCAAGACAGCTTTCAAGAATGGTGCATGACTTCACGGTCTTTACTTAGTGTGGGGTTGAATGGACACCAATGGGTGTCAAATGCACACGTTGTCCAAACCAACACTGTTATTTTTCCGAATTACAGGGGTAGAGTATTCATGACTATGGGCCTGGATTTTGGAGTTAAACAGACCTCCTTTGGCATCCCAGCTTTTCTACCTAGTAGTCTTGAGGCCTCCAGCAAATCTATCCAAGCCTCAGGTTCCCCACCGTAAATCTGGGATATAGTAATAGCCCCTACTCTATGTATTTGTTGTACAGATTAATGAGCTAACACATGTAAAAACATTTAGCACCTAGACTATGTGTTTAAGAAACATCAGTCAATTTTTTTATACCATGAAATTTTGTAGTTTCTGGTAGGTATGCTTATACATATTTGACTCTTTTCTTCCCCCACAAAAACCAATCTTCTGCATAAAAGTCAAGGAAGTTTTAGGTTAGTTCCAGGCCAGGCATGGTGGCTCACGCCTGTAATCTCAACATTTTGGGAGACCAAGGTGGGAGGATTGATTGAGCTCAGGAATTTGAGACCAGCCTGGACAAGATGGGGAAATTCCACCTGTACAAAAAAATATAAAAAATAAGCCAGCCTAGTTGTGTGTGCCTATGGTCCCAGCTACTCAGGAGACTGAGGTAGGAGGATCACTTGAGCCTGGGAGGCAGAGGTTGCAGTGAGCCAAGATTGCGTCAGTGCACTCCAGCCTGGGCAACAGAGTCAGACCCTGTCTCCTAAGAAAAAAAAAAAAAAAAAAGGAGAAGGTTAGTTTCAGAAAGGTGAGTTCTCACTCCTGACATTTCTGATAATCTATCCATGACTAGTTCACCATTGACAGTCACCGCGTGTCATTTGACCCCGATTAGGATGTTTGATCCTAATGTACCTTTAAGAAACATAAATTTTAGTGTTTCTTTATGTGAACACAAAGTTAGTTCCCTCCTGCTTACCAAAAAAAAAAAGTGATTTGTTAGAAACTCAGAAGTATGGCTGGGCACGGTGGCTCATGCCTGTAATCCCAGCACTTTGGGAGGCCAAGGGGGCAGATCACCTGAGGTCAGGAGTTCAAGACCAGCCTGGCCAACATGGTGAAACCCTGTGTCTACTAAAAATACAAAAATTAGCCAGGTATGGTAGGGGGGCACCTGTAATCCCAGTTACTTGGAAGACTGAGGCAGGAGAATTGCTTGAACCTGGGAGGAAGAGGTTGCAGTGAGCTGAGATCATACCACTGCACTCCAGCCTGAGCGATGGAGCAAGACTCCATTTCATAAATAAATAAATAAATAAACTCAGAAGTATCTTTGGTATTTATTCAATTCAGCATTATTCAATAGAACTTTCTACAATGATAGGAATATTCTTTGTCTGTACTGTCTAATCCAGTAGCCCTTAGTCACCAGTGGCCACTGAGCGCTTTATATGTGGCTGAGGTGACTGAGGAAGCCAATTTTTAACTTAGTTAATATTACTTTTTAATGTCAATAGCCACATGTGGCTAATAGCTTTTGTATTGGACAATACATTATAGTAGAAGAAACCCTGGTTTAGAAGCATAAGGCTTGGGAAGAGATTAAACTCAGGAAACACCTGAGGTTTGGGCTTCTAGTTCTAGACCCACTCCTGTTATTCCTAATTAAAATAGGAATAATAGACCAGGCATGGTGGCTCCTGCCTGTAATACCAGCACTTTGGGAGGCCAAAGTGGGCAGATCACCCAAGGCTGGGAGTTCGAGACCAGCCTGGCCAAAATGACGAAACCCTGTCTCTACTGAAAATACAAAAATAAGCTGGGTATGGTGGTGGGCGTCTGTAATCCCAGCTATTTGGGAGGCTGAGGCAGGAGAATCGCTTGAACCTGGGAGGCAGAGATTGCGGTGAGCCGAGATGGCGCCACTGCACTCCAGCCTGGGTGACAGAGCAAGACTTTCTCAAAAAAAAAAAATATGAATAATAGCACTAATATAGCATTTACCTTACACCAGGACCCTGCTCTAAGTGCTTTACACTTATTAACTAATTTAATCTTTGTAATACTCTTATGAGTTTGGGAACATTATTATTGTCCCTGTTTTATAAATGAGAAAATAATGATTTGCCCAAAGATATAAGACTGATAAGATGATCAAGCTAGAATTGATACCCAGGAAATCTGGATAAGATATTCAACCATTTAACTTCTCTGAGCTACACTTTTTCCCTAACACACACATACACACACAGACACACACACACACAAATACCTCGATATTTCTTTATGCATTTTTATGAAATAAAATTAAATACTCTCAGCAAACACTTTGAGAATGTTTTTGATAGCCACATAATTTAAGTTAATTTCATCTTGAATATACAGATTGATAAAAAAAGATTTTAATTTTAAATTTTGCAAATATATTATTATTACTGTTATGGCCATTGAGCCTTATTCGTTATAGCACATGATGGAGATAGAGGGAGTGCATATCCACAGAGATCACTCATTTGAATTTCACTTGGGAGTGGGAGAGATTGACATCTCATTGAATATTGGTTAGTTGGTCATCAACAGATAATTATTACTCTTTCTACTTGCTCGACACTGTAGATCAGTGTATTCGTTTGCTTTGCTGAATAACAAATGACCCCAAAAGTTAGAAGTATGAAACAACAATCATGTATTTAGCTCATAATTCTGTAGGTTGGCAGATTGAGCTGGGCTTGACTGGGTGGTTCTTCTGGTCTCATTGGGGCTCACTCATGACTGCAGTTAGCCATCAGTCAGCATCCTTAATTGCTTGTCTGGTCATTGGCTTCCTACTGGCTGGGCAACAGGTAGTTGGGCCACATGTCTTTTATCCTGTAGAAGACTAGCCTGGGTTTATTTATAAGGTGGTGGTCACAGGGTTCCTAAGAGCAGCAAGAGTGAAAGCATCATGGCCTCTTGATGCCTAGGCTTAGAACTTGCACAGGCTCATGTTCTCTTACATTCTCTTAGCCAAAACAAGACACAGAGCCAGCTCAAGTTTGAGAAATGTGAAAACAGACTCCACTCCTTGATGAGAGGAACTGTAAATACCGTGGCCATTTTTGTAATCCACCATATTTGGTAAAGACCATAATCACAAAATCCCTCCATCATAGAACTTTCAGCCTGATGGTCACAGTACAGGTTTGAACATTGGACATTTTCTGAAGGTTTATTGTTGCTGCTTTTAGGCCTGAATAAGAGATGAAATTGTCTTATTATCTTTAAAGGATAGTAGAGGGCCGAGTGCAGTGGCTTACCCTTATAGTCCCAGCACTTTGGAAGGCGAGGTGGATGGATCACTTGAGCCCAGGAGTTCGAGACTAGCCTTGGCAACATGGCAAGACCCCGTCTCTACAGAGTATACAAAAATTAGACGGGCGTGGTGGCATGCGCCTGTAGTCCCCGCTACTCGGGAGGCTGAGGCGGGAGAATTGCTTGAGCCCTGGAGGCCGAGGCTGTAGTGAGCTATGATTGCACTGTTGCACTCCAGCCCAGGTGACAGAGCAAGACCCTGTCTCAAAATAAATAATAAATAAATAAATAAAATGAAAGATGGTAGAGGCCTCTGCATGTAGGTAGGCTCATTATTAACATTTGCTTTCTTGTATCATGCCTGTACAATGTTCTTGCATGGATGGAGAGAAGGAACGACAAGGAAGTCTCTCTCTCCTGCCCCTACCCAGCGGTTCTCAACACTGACTGCACATTAGAACTGACCTGAAATTTTTAAAAATACAAATTTCATCAGCCACACCCCCAGATCAATTCTATTAGAATCTCTGGGCAGTGGGACTGTGGCACTGGCATTTCGTATAAGCTCCCCAGGTGATTCTAAAGTGCAGACAAAGTTGAGAATTGCTGTTCTGCTTGGGCTCTTTTCAGCTGATAGCACCCACCCCCCAGCCCTATGAAACCCACATATGCCAGCTTTTATTCTTTCTCTTGCTCTCAGAGTCAAAACCATCGCTTCTTGGCCTTTTAGCTAAATCACATTTGGTATCTCAGATTCAAAACCATCTCCAAGCTGGATGTAATGGCTCATGCCTGTAATCCCAACTACTCAGGAGGCTGAGGAGAGAGGATTGCTTGAGCCCAGGAATTCAAGTCTAGCCTGGGCAATATGGCAAGACCTCATCTCTTAAGAAAAGCAAAACTCCACCTTCCATGCCCCAGATGAAAAGTGATAAAAGAGAGTGGTGGGCCTTTGTGAAGACCGCAGGACAGAGCTGGTATTCACCTAGGTGTGGACTACCTGTCAGAGAGTATCACCTTGCTAGAAAAAGTTCTTGGAAGAGGTCGCAGTTACCATCTTTCTTTGCTTTGAAATAGGTTCTTCTTCCTATCAAATGATGAGCTACTGGAAATCTTGTCTGAGACAAAGGACCCTCTCCGAGTGCAGCCGCACTTGAAGAAGTGCTTTGAAGGAATTGCCAAGCTCGAGTTTATAGAAAATCTGGAAATTGTAGGTATGATCAGCTCAGAAAAAGAAACTGTTCCATTCATCCAGAAAATCTACCCAGCTAATGCCAAGGTAATTCCTCTTACCCATTTTTGGTTCTTTTCTCCATAACAAAGTAAACCAGAGAGCATATTGGCTAAGCACTGGGACTCTAGTTCCAGACTGCCTGGGGTATGGAACACTCAGGTCCCACAATGTAACGACTGAAGATTTGGGGAAGTGACTCAGTCTTTCTTAGTCTCAGTGTACCCATCTCTAAGACGGAGATTATACTGCAACCCACATGATATATTAAATTTGTGGATTTTAACCCAACTCGATGTGGAGTCAATTGCAGGAATCAGATCAAAACAGCCGATGCTGTTTAGATTTCCACATGCGGAGTTCAGTTGAAAGCAATTCAGTTAGACAGGTAGCTTCCCGAGGCACTCATTTTAAAGATCAATAAAACATCATAGAATCAATGAGAGCTATAATGCTACTTAACTCAGGTTTTCATACATATGTCCTTATATAATGAGTAAAGTATAAATTACTTCCATTTCTGCTCAGTGACAGCATCCTCAAGTGGAAACAGACAAGCAAGCTTAGCCTTGCTTTGTTAACTGTTTTTGCCACCCACACATATAAACTGCAGCAACTAGGAGTCACATTACCAATGCAGACACCAGCTAGCTTACAAGCACCTGAAGTCAACAGCTACAGTTACCTGAAATTCTAACACTGAATAATTTGCTGCGTATTTGAATTTCCTTATGGAGCTTTAATCAAAATCCAAATGACCAGGTTGCATCCCATACCAATTAAATTAGGAAGTCTAGGGATGGGAGTCAGTCATCAGTATTTTTAAAAGATCTCCAAGTGATTTCAAGGAACAGCAAAGTTTGAGACCCACTGGAATAATGCATGAATCAGAGCTGTTCATTTAAAAGATGCAATTTATTTTATGAACTGACAGATGTTTCATTTGCCTTCCGAGAAGTTGTCTGTTTCAGAAAATGACATGAAAGTAATGCATGTTAAAAATGGGCAGGGCATGGTGGCTCACACTGTAATCCCAGCACTTTGGGAGGCCAAGGCGGGTGGATCGCCTGAGGTCAGGAGTTCGAGACCAGCCTGGCCAACATGGCGAAACCCTGTCTCTACTAAAAAGCCAGGTGTAGTGGCACATGCCTGTAATCCCAGCGACTTGGGAGGCTGAGGCAGGAGAATCGCTTGAACCCGGGAGGCGGAAGTTGCAATGAGCTGAGATCGTGCCATTGCACTCCAGCCTGGGTGACAAGAGTGAAACTCCATCTTGAAAAAAAAAAAAAAAGAAAAATCTATTTCCCCTTTAGAAGGCATACGCTTCTGAGAATACAGAAAATAAGTGTAAAGCAGATAAAGAATATTGGCTGGGGCCAGGTGCCATGGCTCACACCTGTAATCCTAGCACTTTGGGAGGCTGAGGCAGGAGGATCTCTTGAGGCCAGGAATTCAAGACCAGCCTGGGCAACATAGAGAGACCCCGGCTCTACAGAAATATTTAAAAGTTAGCCGGGCATGGTGGCGTGTGCCTGTAGTCCCAGTTACTCAGGAGGCTGAGGCAGGAGTCACTTGGGCAGGAGTTCAAGGCTGCAGTGAGCCAGGATCGTGCCACCGCACTCCAGTCTGGATGACAGAGCAAGGCCCTGTCTCTCTCTTTTTAAAAAAAAGAGAGAGAGAGAGACCAGGTGCAGTGGCTCATGTCTGTAATCCCAGCACTTTGGAGGCTGAGGCGGGCAGATCATGAGGTCAGGAGGTCAAGACCATCCTGGCCAACATGGTGAAACCCCGTCTCTACTAAAAGTACAAAATCAGCTGGGCGTGGTGGTGCACATCTGTAATCTCAGCTACTCAGGAGGCTGAGGCAAGAGAATCGCTTGAACCAGGGAGTCGGAGGTTGCAGTGAGCCAAGATCGTGACACTGCACTCCAGCCTGGCAACAGAGCAAGACTCCATGTCAAAAAAAACAGAGAACTGGGAAAGAGACAATATTGACTTGAAAAGGTGCCTAGCCTTTGGCCTCCCTCCAGCCGTGTCCAGAGAGAAAGCTGTGTTCTACCCACTGTCCCTCCCTCTGGGCTTTGGTTGACTGTTGCACCCTCTCTCTGTCTTGCTCCATAGGGTATGGTGGAAAAGTGGCTCCAGCAGGTGGAGCAGATGATGCTTGCCAGTATGCGAGAAGTCATTGGACTTGGGATTGAAGCATATGTCAAGGTAAACAAGAATCAGGGTACACGTGCCGGGACACTAGTGCACTAAAGAGAACATTGGGGAGAAGGTTCATGTATCAGTAGTTCAGTTGGACGCTCTGCCTTCTACCAAAACCTGTCCCTCTCCCTCTGCACCTCTCTTTCCTTCACCTGTGAACCCTGGGGCAATGAACCTACTCCTGGTGAGATGTTGGCAGTTAGAAGCAGGTGATGCAAGAGAAGAGGGTTAGCTGGAACCCTCTGGTTGCCACGGACCAGTCCTTTTTGTCAAATGGAATTAATGGCACAAGGTCTATTTAGAGTCCCTTAATAATTCATTTACCTTACAGATGCCCTGAATGGCATAACTCATGTTCCCAAAGCTTTAAGGGAAACAGGTATGATGTAAGCCTTAAGACAAAAGAACCTATCAGAATAACTTGATACCCAGCCTGTAGTAACATTCACGTTGACTCTAGCTCTCTTTCTTTCTTTTTTTGTTTTCTGAGATGGAGTCTCACTCTGTCTCCCAGGCTGGAGTGCAGTGGTGTAATCTTGGCTCACTGCAACCTCCGCCTCCCGGGTTCAAGCGATTCTCCTGCCTCAGCCTCCCAAGTAGCTAGGACTACAGGCACCCACTGCCACACCCAGCTAATTTTTGTATTTTTAGTAGAGATGCGGTTTCACCATGTTGGCCAGGCTTGTCTTGAACTCCTGACCTCAAATGATCTACCTGCCTCGGTCTTCCAAAGTGCTGGGATTACAGGCATGAGCCACTGCTCCCGGACAACTGACTAACTTTCTTACTTTCTTATTCCCAGGACCCACAGAACAAAGCAATACTCAACACCCTCACACTAAAGTCCTGGGGACTGAGCCTGCTGTCCCTTGAAATAGTATTTGCATTGTAAAATGAAAGACCAATCCCTTTTCCTATGACATGCTCTGAATCAAAAATTAAAGAAAAGCAGTTACCGGTATGAAATTATTTCATCCAAATCAAATCTATCAAGTTTCATCCTCAGATCAAACTTTTTCTGTAAAGAGCCAGATGGTAAATATTTTCAACTCTGCAGGCCACATTCCCAAAGCAACTATTTTTAAAAATAAATTTTATTACGCATATTTAAGGTATATAACATAATGTTATAAGATACATATGTATAGTAAATGGGTACTGTAGCTTTTCCCTTGTAGCACAAAAGCATCAGACAATATTTAAATGATGGGCATGGCTGTATTTCTTTTTAAAAATTTTTTTAAAATTTTATTTTATTTTACTTTAAGTTCTGGGATACATGTGCAGAACATGCAGGTCTGTTACATAGGTATACATGTGCCATGGTGGTTTGCTGCACCTATCAATCCATCATCTAGGTTTTAAGCCCCGCATGCATTAGGTATTCGTCCTAATGCTCTCCCTCTCCTTGCCCCCCACCTCCTGACAGGCCTGATGTGTGAAGTCCCCTCCCTGTGTCCATGTGTTCTCATTGTTCAACTCCCACTTATGAGTGAGAACATGCGGTGTTTGGTTTTCTGTTCCTGTGTTAGACTGCTGAGAATGATGGCTTCCAGCTTACTCCATGTCCCTGCAAAGGACATGAACTCATTCTTTTTTATGCTGCGGCTGTATTTCAATACAACTTTATTTATGAAAAAATTTATATACATAGTTTGCCCACTCCTGATCTGTAGCTTGAGGGAAAAAATTGTAGGATGGGGAAACAGCTCAGACAGTTGTGACTCAGCACTGCAATATTAGGTAGCCATTAAAAAACAGTAGTTATGAGAATTCTCTGAACATCACCTTGATTATAACTGTGGAAAAATTTGATGAATGGGAGCATGGAAACAATGCAAAGTTGATGAGATGACTGGAGTTTTTTTTTTTTCTTTTTCATAAAACTCAGAAAGGAAGACATAAATCGGTAATCCCAGAGATGTCAAGCCTTGTAGCATCTGAGCGTGGGGGAAGATTCTGTTTTTGTTGCGGGGATGAGGTGGTTGGAGCATGTTTTTGTAAACTCAGTTTAAACCACACGTGAACTGATCCTACAACATGCCCACTGCACTTTTCCAGGTCGCTCGAAATCACTGGGTCTTACAGTGGCCTGGACAGGTGGTTATCTGTGTCTCCTCCATCTTTTGGACCCAGGAGGTGTCCCAAGCCCTGGTGGAAAATACCTTACCGGTAGGTGAGCTTGCTGCGAAGCTTACAGAAGAGATCCAAGCATCAATTAGGATTTGAATGATGTATAATTAGAGTAGCCATGTTTTGTTGTCTAAACAAAAATCATTTGGGCTCATAGCATCACAGACATCAGGGTTCCCATGAGGACAGTGGGATGGAGAATTTGGGATTCGAGCTGTCCTGCAATTCTATGGTACGAGACCTCTCCTAGTCCTTCCCAGACAGAAATTCTGGACTACAGGATTCTAAGTCTTGTACCCTGGGCTTCTAGGGGCCAACCTGGCAGAATTTCCACCAACGGAGACCTCCTGTATTCTTCCTAAGCCAAGGGGCCACCGAAGTGCTGGGAGCCACCATGCTTGACCAAATATTTGTTAAATGGATGAATGAAAACTTCATATTCAGCCTTTCTTCCATGGTCTCATTCCCCATGAATATCTCACCAGATCTCCTTTACTGCTCTTAGAGGATTGGCTGTGTATTAGAATATGTTTTAATTTCCTATATTTTGCTGTATAAACTGAAATTAGAACATAAAATTTGGCCACTGTTTAAACTTATACAGATTCCATATTGATAAATCCTAATAGACATATTGCACTGTACACATGCAAACTGCTTTCACGCACATCATTTCAAAGTTTAGAAACTCTAAAATCCTCTGACTTTTGTGACAGTATCTCTGACTTTTTGTGATGGAGGCGGATTCATGTGCCCCAGTTTTCCCACCCATAGATAGGGAGAATGTTTCCCATCATATACCAAGGCCCTAAAGGAAGCAGGTGTTGACACAGAATAATCATCCCTCCCTCCCTCCAACCATTTATTATTCATTTAACAAATATTGGTTTGGCATCTGCTCTGTGCTGGTACTGCTGCTAACAAAGGTAATTAGATGTGAATGAGACAGACATAGTCCCTGTCCTCAAGGATTTATGGTCTAGTGGGGGAGAGAAAAAGGCTCTTGTATAGAACTATGATAAGGAAAGAACAGACATCTAGTAAGTATGGGAAGGGAGGGAGGCAGGGAGGAAGGGAGGGAGGCAGGGAGGGAGGGAGGGTTTAAGGAAGGAAGAAAGGAAGGAAGGAAGAAGGGAGGGAGGGAGGGATGGAAGGAAGGAAGGAAGGAAAGGGAAGGGAGGGAAGGGAGGGAGGGAGGGAGAAAGGGTGGGAGGAAAAAGGAAGGAAGGAAAGGAGGAAAATAGGAAGGAAGGAAAGAGTAAGAGAGTGAGGGGAGGGAAGTTAGGATTAGGGAAGATTTCCCAGAAAAGTGGTGTCTAGGAGGACACCTGAAATATAAGTAGGGATTAGCTGAGCAGAAAATAGGAGGGAGAGTGTTCCAGAGAGAAGACCTGGAGTATGCAAAAGCCTGAAGATGAAAAGCATGGTGTATGCCAGCAGGAAGACACTTTGGTCTAGAATAGCTGTGGAATAGCTGTGTTTAGGAGAGATGTGGGGAGAAGCCCCAACAGCACATCCACTACCTCATTTAATCCTCAACACAGCTTGAAGAGGCAGCTATGATCATCTAGATTTAGGGCAGGATATGGTGGCTCATGCCTGTAATCCCAATAGTTTGGGAGGCCAAGGCGGGAGGATTGCTTGAGACCAGTAGTTCAAGACCAGCCCGGGCAACATAGTGAGACCCCCTCTCTACAAATAGTTAGCCAGGAGTGATGGGGTGTGCCTGTGGTCCCAGCTACTCAGGCGGCTGAGGTGGGAGGATTGCTTGAGCTCAGGAGGTCAAGGTTTCAGTGAGCCATGTTTGTGCCTGTGCACTCCTGCCTAGGTGACAGACCAAGACCCCATCTCAAAAAAAAAAAAATCTGCATTTGACACACCAGGAGACTGAGACTCGGAAGCTTAAAATCATTTGCCCAGAGCCACATAGCTAGAAAGTAGGAAAGGCAGGGTTTGAACCTAGGGTGGTCTTACTTTTTTTCCTTTTTAAGTTTTCTTTTTCTTTTATTTTTCTCCTCTTTAATTTGAAATAACGTGAAACTTACCAATAATGCTGAAAATATAATACAAAGAATTTTCATATATCTTTCATCCAGATTCCTCGTATATTAACATCTTAGACAACCATTGTACAGTTATCCAAATCAGGAAATCAACATTGATAACGATTTTATTCTCTAATCTATAGACCTTTCTAAATTGGCTATTTTAAATTTTGTCATCTTGAAAAAGAAATGACAGGCCGGGCGTGGTGGCTCATGTCTGTAATCCCAGCACTTTGGGAGGACAAGGTGGGTGAATCACTTGAGTCAGGAGTTCGAGACCAGCCTGGCCAACGTGACAAAACCCCATCTCTACTAAAAATACAAAGATTAGCTGGGTGTGGTTGTGCACAACTGTAATCCCAGCTATTTGGGAGGCTGAGTCAGGCTCTGTCTCAAATAAATAAATAAATAAATAAATAAATAAATAAATAAATAAAATTAGCCAATTGCCCTACTATCTTTTTTTTTTTTTTTTTTTTTTTTTCCCCTGGTCCAGGATGCAATCTAGTCCAGGATGTTGCATTTTGTTTTTATAGCTCCTTTGTCTCTTTAATGTGAAAAAGTTTCCAATTTGGGAGGTTAATTCTGATTTACGGTATATACAGTGAAATTTACCTTTTTTAGCATACGGTTCTCAGTTTTGATAAACACATGCATTTGTGTAGGCACCATCACAATCAGTATATAGGACAGTTCCACACCATCCAAAAAAATGTCCTCAGGCCCTTTGTAGTCAGTTGCATTCTCTACTCCAAGTCTCCAGTAACTACCAAGGTATTTTCTGCTCACTCCTGTAATTTTGCCTTTTCCACAATAGTATAAAAATAAAACTATGGAGTATGAAACCTTCCAAATCTTGCCTCTTTCAGCACAATGCATTAGGAATTCATTCAGAGATTAAGGACTGGGGTAAGGAAAAGGTGGACTTGAGGGATGACACCCAGGAGTCTGGCTTGAGCCATCCGGTGGTCCATGGTACCATTTCTTGACACAGGGATTACCAGAGGAGAGTCAAATGTAACCAGTTGTCCCCTCCTCTGCCCCTGCCAGAATTTTCTGAAAAAGAGCAATGATCAGATTGCACAGATTGTCCAGCTGGTGCGAGGGAAGCTGAGCAGTGGAGCTCGACTCACGCTCGGGGCCCTCACAGTCATCGATGTCCACGGTAAGCCAATGGGCTTCCCCTGTCATTACTGACTGTCCAGGAGAAGCAGTCTAGTCTTGCTCATCTCAGTTCTCCTGGATGGAATAATTCAGGGTTTCCTTCCTCATTAGGGAGAGCTTTCTCCAACTGAGAGTAAGATGGAGGAGGAAGGAGAGAAGCCAACGCCAAAGGGCTCTCCACCTGTGTTTCCTCTCCCACCCCCAAACTGATTTCCAGGAGCCCTCCAAGCAGGGCCTGTACTGAGACAATGATGGCCAAAGTCATTTCTGAGCTTCGCTAACGTGGAATCCTTTCCTTGGCTAACTGTAGCTAATATTTTTGCATCCTTGCTAGGTGCCAGGCTTTGTGCTAAGTGGTTGACATACATTATCTCATTTTCATAGACATTTCACAGATTCAGAACCTGGGGCTTAGAGAGGTAACTAACTTGCTGAGAGGCACACAGCTATAATAGTAAGCAAGAGAAGCGCCTGTGTCTGTCTGCTTCCAAGCCTAAGGGACTGGAAATGGGCAATGTTGCAAGCAGTGGGTGGTGAGAGAGGATGCCTTCCAGCTCCTCCTTTAAAAAAAAGAGGAGGAGGAAGAGGAGGAGGAGGAGGAAAAACTGGGGTCTTTATATAAAACAAACCACCCCCACACCCTCTCTCCATCACCAAGGAAACTAGGGCTGGACCAGGCTGGTTGCTTGGGAACAGAGCCTCTTGCTCACATACCCAGCTTCCTACTGGCATTTCATGGCATCTCATTCCCCTCAGGTTAATGCTCACTTCAATCTGATTTCATTAGGTAGACCAGCATAACATCAAGGAGAGAGAAGGGAAAATGTGCTCTTCATACAGCTACATACTCAGCTCTTAGGAATAATTGGTGCAGATGTGGTTATACTGCCCAGGGTACCCGAGTGTGGTTGGGTTCACAAACACAAGCATGCATGTATGCACACACACATGTACCCACACACATATACACTCACACACACATGCAAGTGCACATACACACACTGCATGGTGAAGGCATCCCCAACTCAATCTCTTGAAATTCACTTTCCTCTTGGATCCCTCAGGCATACCATACTCCTGCCCTATACCCTCTTCCTTGGGAGAACATATCAGGTGGTTCCCCTGTATATTTCCCCAAGAGCCAGGAGGAGAATTAAATTCCTTGGGAAGGAAGAAAAAGCTGTGGATATAATCGTCTTCAAGGACTCTTCCCTGCAGGGTTTTGGATTTTACTGTAATAAAGAAGACTGTCACAGAGAGGCAGGAAAGGTTCAATGGAAGCAACCCTTTGAAAAGTCCCTTAGGCTTGGAAGCAGACAGACACAGGCGCTTCTGTTGCTTGCTATTATAGCTGTGTGCCTCTCAGCAAGTTAGTTACCTCTCTAAGCCCCAGGTTCTGAATCTTTTGAGTCTGCTGTACTAGCTCTGAGATCTCCATAGCTCTCCACCTGAGTTACCAAAAACATAATGAATGATTCTCATCAGCCTAGATCCACTCTTCAACTTCAAGGCCCCTGTCACTTGGATAAAATTAAATCAGGGCTTACAGTCCCATGAGAGAAAAGAGAAAAGCTAGAAATGTATATCTTCCAGCTGGTTTCTCAGGCCTCCAGATGGAAAGGATATATCTAACCATGGATTCTCGGGCTTCCTTCCCCTGCTATATAAGGCCATGCTGATTGCATTCTCCTAGGATATCCTAGGGGCCTGAAACAGGACCAAAAGGGTTATATTGGAAATAGGATGGCATTTGGAGTCAGTATGCATTGCAAAGCCCTCTGGCTCAGACTTCCAAGAATTTGGGGATGATAACAGTAGCTAATATCTGTATAACATTTTCATACGCCAAGAACAGCTCTCTCTCTCTATTGTGTCTAGATGTAGGCATGTACATATGTGCATATATATTCATTTAATCCTCATGATAACCCTATAATGTAGGTACTATATGATCCCTATTTTACAGATTACACAACTGAAGAACAGAGAGGTCGAGGAACTTACCCAAAGTCACACAGCTAGGTTGTGGTGGAACCAGAATTTGAACCCAGGCAGTCTGATTTCAGAGCACGCACCTTTAATACCTCTGCTGTGCTGTCTGAGAGAAGATAGTGAAGCAGATTCTCTGCCTGGTTTTGGGAGAAAGCAAATACCAGCTTCTAACAGATATTGCTGCCTGCAGGGTGGGGGTGGGCAAGGAGGCTTGAGAAATCTAAAATTGTCTGGGCCGGGCGCGGTGGCTCACGCCTGTAATCTCAGCACTTTGGGAGGCCGAGGTGGGCGGATCACTTGAGGTCAGAAGTTGGAGACCAGCCTGGCCAACATGCTGAAACCCCATCTCTACTAAAAATACAAAAAATTAGCCAGGTGTGGTGGCGTGCACCTATAATCCCAGCTATTTGGGAGGCTGAGGCAGGAGAATCGCTTGAACCCAGGAGGCGGAGGTTGCAATGAGCTGATTGCATTCTGGGGGACAGAGCACTCCAGAATGGGGGACAGAGCAAGGCTCCATCTCAAAAAATAAATAAATAAAATAAAATTGTTTGGAGAATGGGGGACCTTGATAACATCCACTTCTAACTGAGGAGCTTACGAAGATGGAGAGTTCTGATGGCTCTGTGTGTGTGTTTCTGCATCTGTGTCCCAACAGCCCGCGACGTGGTGGCCAAGTTAATTGAGAACAGGGTCTCTGATCTGAATGATTTCCAGTGGATCTCACAGTTGCGCTACTACTGGGTGGCCCAGGATGTACAGGTTCAGATTATCACCACAGAAGCCTTGTATGGCTATGAGTACCTGGGAAACTCCCCTCGGCTGGTGATCACACCCCTCACAGACCGCTGCTACAGGTACACTCTGGAGCTCCTAGATCTGACGGGTGAATGGAGAACTCCAGGGGAAGAAGACTCTGGGGAGGAAAGTTAGGGATGTCTTGGGTTACCTTTACCCTTCACACTTCAGATTGTTAGATTCTCCATAGTCCCAAAGATGGGCAAGCAAACTAGGTCTTCAGGCTAGAAATGAGAACCCAGTAATAGTTCTAGTGCAAATCAATATATTTGAACCAACAAGTGGAATATTGGTGCACATCCATGAACATGGCACAGGACTTGACGTAGAGGGCTCTCCAATGGCAGGAATCAAGATGGTACCTGGAGATCCTATGGCCATAAGATAGACAAGAAGTGAGGTCAAGAACGCAGCCAAGGGGTCTCTATGCTCTGCCAGCCAGTCTCATGAAAAGATCTGGCCATTCTGTGCTCAGCAAAGTGCTCTGACATTTTCTGTGGAACTCAGCCTTTGAGATCGGGATTTTGTGAACTTGTCGGTTTTGTGATGTTTAGATGTTCTTTGCTTTTATATATTTCCTTACGGTGGGAGTTTTTTAGATTGCAAAAATAATGCTTGGGAATGTTTTCTCCCTTCAAAATCCTCAACCACTTGTTTTTTTATGGTCATGATTTTTGCCCTTCATTCATGTATTTATTCCACTCATTGTTCAACAACCATTTTTTGAAGTTTCCTGTGCACCATGCATGACCTCAAGAAACCCTAAATCTAACTGGGGGGTCGGGAGAGACATATTCAAATGATTACAAGATAGAGTGCTAAATGAAAACATACAGACTCATACCAAGGGCCATGGAACCACAGTTATTACACCATTCATTTCTAACATATATCTGGCACCTATTATATGCCAGGAACTGTATTAATTTACTGAGGTTATGAAATGCAATCAAATATGATTCCTGAACTTAAGAGTTCATAGTCTAGCTGGGCATGGTGGCTCACAGCTGTAATCTCAGCACTTTGGGAGGCCAAAGTGGGTGGATCACTTGATCCCAGAAACTTGAGACCAACCCACCTGGGCAACATGGCAAAATCCCATCTCTACAAAAAATACGAAAATCAACCAGGTGTGGTGGCGTGTGCCTGTAAGTCCCAGCTACTTGGGAGACTGAGATGGGAGGATCACTTGGGTCCAGGAGGTCAAGGCTGCAGTGAGCTGTGACCATGCCTCTGCACTCCAGCCTGGCCGACAGAGTGAGAACCTGTCTCAAAAGAAAAAAAGAATTCATAATCTAGTTGGATAAATATATTTATTTTCACCATTCCATTAGCACTGGTGATCTTTGGAATGTGGAGGTTATGAGTATTTTTGCTTTTATTTGATATATATATATATATGCACGTATTCATTTATTCATTCAAACACATATTTATAGGTGCCACTCATGTGCTGGGCTCTGAGGTTACAATGCTGAGTAAAATAGAAATTTTTACAGTGATGTTGTATTGCTCATATAATCGGGAAAATTTTTAACTATTTGGTTGGTGCAAAAGTCATTGCAGCTTTTAGCATTGCAGCTTTTAGCATTACTTTCAATGGCAAAAACTGCAGTTACTTTTGCACTAACCTAAATATTTGTATGAGTCAAAATAAATAAAAAGTTCGTTTCTTTCCTGGGTCTTAGATGTCAAGCACTGAAGTCCTATTTTCTTCCCATAGGACACTGATGGGAGCTTTGAAGCTGAACCTTGGGGGTGCTCCAGAGGGTCCAGCTGGGACTGGCAAGACAGAAACCACCAAAGATTTGGCCAAAGCCTTGGCTAAGCAGGTAAGGAAATGCCATCTATCCCCTCCCTCTCTTCCAGGCCCTCTCTGCACCCCTATTCTGGGAAGTAAGCATGAACTTTAAGATAGTTTAACATTAACAGGCAGCGTGGACCCCAGCTCCTTCAAGCAGAGCAAGGAGAGAGAAGCCCACTGCTGCTGAATGGTGCAGGGTAATTCAGATGGGATGCAATCCACCCTGAATGATATCCACATCCTCCCTCTTTCTAGTGCGTGGTCTTCAACTGCTCCGATGGTTTGGATTACAAAGCTATGGGGAAGTTCTTCAAGGGGCTGGCACAGGCTGGAGCATGGGCGTGCTTTGATGAATTCAACAGGATTGAGGTAACTCTGCCTCTAGGCTACAAAACAAAGAAGCTGTGCATGGAGGGGCCTTTTACTTGGCTCTGCACCCCTTAATAACAGGGCCTTATGTCTCTTGTATGGCAGACATGAGAACCTCCAAAGCAGGTACTCAGTGAATTAAACAGAAGGAGTCTCAAGGAGACAGATGCATGTTTTATACACATATCCCCATCTCTCCATCATATTAATTCATTCACTTGCCCATTTCAAACTATTGAGCAACTACTATACATCAGATATTCCGCATAAGTTCATGCTACAAAGATGAGCGTGAAATGGTTGTATAGCAAGGCACAGATGCTCACACCTGTAATCCCAACACTTTGGGAGGCCAAGGTGGGAGGATCACTTGAGCCCAGGAGTCTGAGACCAGTCTGGGCAACACAGTTGAGACCCTGTCTCTACAAAAATAAAATAACCTCAGCTATTCAGGAGGCTGAGGCAGGAGGATTGCTTGAGCTCAGGAGTTCGAGGCTGAAGTGAGCTTTCATGCAGCCACTGCATTCCAGCCTGGGTGAGAGTGAGACTTTCTCTCTCAAAAAAAAAGATGGTCTTGGTTGGGCGTGGTGGCTCACACCTGTTATCCTAGCACTTTGGGAGGCCAAGGCGGGTGGATCACCTGAGGTCAGGAGTTCAAGTCCAGCTTGGCCAGCATGGTGAAACCCTGTCTCTACTAAAAATATAAAAATCAGCTGGGTGTGGTGGTGAGTGCATATAATCCCAGCTACTCGGGAGGCTGAAGCAGGAGAATGGCTTGAACCCGGGAGGCGGAGGTTGCAGTGAGCTGAGATCTCACCATTGCATACCAACTTGGAAGTGAAACTCTGTCTCAGAAAAAAAAAAAAAAGGGGGGGTCTTGCTGTCTATACTGTTACAATCTAGTAAAGGGAAATAAAAATTTAATGAAACAAATACCAACATGATAAAAGTCTATAGTAGAAGTACAAAAGACGTATCACAAAAGAGTGTATAATTCTGTTTGGATGATGAATGAAGATCAGGAAATATAAAAATCTCTGATCTTTGAACCAATGTGAATCGATAAACACAGAATACCTACTGTATGTCAAGTACTATGCCAGGTGTTGAAACAAAGAGAAAATACTATGGAAACTATTAACGCACACGCACACACGCGCAAACCTATGTTCTTTTTTTTTTACCAAAACCCCAAATCATGCTCCTAATTTTGAATGTGCAGGTGTGGTTGGTTTCCGGGTGATTGGGTTCTTTCTTTGCTATGTGGGAGGACTCTGGTAGAGTAGGGTGGTTGTCAGACAGAAGCAGAAGCTCCTATCAGCCGGGCATTCTCACCCCAGGTGGAAGTGCTGTCTGTGGTCGCTCAGCAGATCCTCAGCATCCAACAAGCCATCATTCGGAAGCTAAAGATGTTCATCTTTGAAGGCACTGAGCTCTCTTTGAACCCAACGTGCGCTGTGTTCATCACCATGAACCCCGGCTATGCTGGCAGGGCTGAACTGCCTGACAACCTCAAGGTAAATGCCAGCAGATATACATGTAGGGTGTGCTGTTTAGAATAGAAACCTCTGGGCCGGGCACTGTGACTCATGCCTGTAATCCCAGCACTTTGGGAGGCTGAGGCAGGCAGATCACCTGAGGTTAAGAGTTCGAGACCAGCCTGGCCAACGTGGTGAAACCCTATCTCCACTAAAAATACAAAAATTAGCCAGACATGGTGGCCAGGGCCTGAATCCCACTCAGCTGTTCAGGAGGCTGAGGCAGAAGAATCGCTTGAACGTGGGAGGTGGAGGCTGCAGTGACTGGAGGCAGCGCCATTGCACTCCAGCCTGGGAGGCAAGAGTGAAACTCCACCTCAAAAAAAAAAAGAAAAAAGAAAGAGAAACCTCTAGAGGTACCTACCTGGGGGTAAATTTATTCCACCGTCCCCTTGGATGGAAGTGGTAAGACAGACCCAGCCACACCCATATCCACTGACTTTAGGACATGATCTATCCCCTGCTACTAATGCATTCTGATTGGAGCCCTGGAATCTTACTCAGATGGACCACTTCTCTCTGAGAAGAGAAAATAGTCAGGGTGATGCTTCAAGTGGCTCCTCCCCTCTAGGTCAGCATACGCCAGTGAAGGCCAAGATAGAATTTGGATCCACATTTCTCTCTCTCTCTCTCTCTTTTTTTTTTTTTTTGAGATGGAGTCTCATTCTGTCCCCCAGGCTGGAGTGCAGTGGCACGATCTTGGCTCACTGCAACCTCTGCCTCCCAGGTTCAAGCAATTCTCCTGCCTCAGCTTCCTGAGTAGCTGGGACTACAGGCATGCGCCACCACACCCTGCTAATTTTCATATTTTTAGTAGAGACAGGTTTTCACCATGTTGGCCAGGCTGGTCTCAAACTCCTGACCTCAGGCGATTCACCTGCCTTGGCCTCCCAAAGTACTGGGATTACAGGTGTGAGCCACCAGTCCCGGCCCCATTTCTCATTTTTTACTGCCCAGTAGTTGTAAGCACCCCCTGCACCCATCCCAGCCAACAGCCATATTAGCTCATCACAAGCAGCTTTCACTATGCCTTGGTGTAGTAGAAAGCACCCGGGCATGGTATCAGGAAGCCTGGATTCTAGCCCTGGCATTAGCTCTAACTAACTGGGTGACTCAGGCAAGTTACTTCTCCTCTAAGATCCATCCAAGGTAATAATGCAATAGCTGGTGTATATTGAACACTTACTATGTGCCACATACTCCTGTAAGCACTTCACTTGCATTCCATCATTTATTCTCATGATAACTCTATGAAGAGAGTAAAGTTAGTCTGTTTTGAGATGAAAGAACTGAGATCTACAAGGGTTGTATAACTTGCCCATGCTAGTCCGGAGCAAAACAGGAACTCAAATCAAGGTCTGTCTGGCTGGGCAAGATGACTCACGCCTTAATCCCAACACTTTGGGAGGCTGAGGCGGTTGGGCACCTGTAATCCCCGAGTGTTTGGGAGGCTAAGGCACGAGAATTGCTTGAACCCGGGAGGTGGAGGTTGCAGTGAGCCAAGATCGTGCCACTGTACTCCACCCTGGGCGACAGAGACTCTGTCTTAGAAAAGATCTGTCTGACTTCTTCTGATACCTATTGGTTCTGCATTCCTGAATGACTTCTGATGTCCATGTTGAACACTGGGAAGCTCCAACAGTTGAGTGATGCTATGAGGTGTCCTCATTTGGCATAGGAGAATGAGGTGTACCAGCACCTAGGGCCTTCCACAGAACCACTGAGGGACCGAATGTAAGTAACGACATGTACCCGCACAGGGCCAGAAGGGAGGTTGGCTGAGCCATGCGTTGGCCAACTGAGGATGGTCCATCTGCACTCACTTGTCCCCCAGTCCTGCTTGCCTTGATTGTCACTGGAGTGGCCTGAAGGACCGTGCTACTTCCCTTTGCTTCTGTGGATGTGCCTTCCCTCAGTATTCACTGCACATGTTCCGATTCTGATTCATTGTTTCTTTTCCAGGCCTTGTTCCGGACAGTGGCCATGATGGTGCCAGATTACGCCCTCATTGGAGAAATCTCCCTCTACTCCATGGGGTTTCTGGACTCCAGAAGGTGTGTTACATGGGTTTTCCAGTGCATTCTAAAGGGCTTTAAATAGTGGCTTTTTGCATGCGTGGCGGATTCAAGGTGGTTTGCCCATTGGAATAAAAGAGAGAAGCTTGAGAAACTTGCTTCAGCTTACTGGGTGGTCTGAGAGCACATAGCCCTAGGCTTGGTCTTGCCCCATTTCTGACGGGGAAATGGCCCAGATTCCCAGGGCAGGGCCCCGCTCTCTCTTTACATACACCTGAGTTCTATTAGAGAAAGTAGCTACTCATATCTTCCCCACCCCTCACTCTGACACATCCATACCCACATTACTCAATGGCTTAAGGCAACAAACAAACAAGGCCGGGTGCTGTGGCTCACGTCTGTAATCTCAGCACTTTGGAGAAGGCAGGGGATCACTTAAGGCCAAGAGTTTGAGACCATCCTGGCCAACATGGGGAAATCCCGTCTCTACCAAAAAATTCAAAAATTAGCCGGACTTGGGGGCACGCACCTGTAATCCCAGCTACTCGGGAGGCTGAGGCAGGAGAATCGCTTGACCCGTGGAGGCAGAGGCTGCAGTGAGCCAAGATCTCACTAGTGCACTCCAGCCTGGGTGACAGAGTGAAACCCTGTCTCAAAAAAAAAAAAAAAAAGCAACACTATAAAACATATGCAATTATTCCAGAATTGAAGAGGAAAAATTATTAATGTAACATTTATTGCCTCCAATTAACTAGGTTATCTCTCATTCAAGTATTGTCCAGTTTCCAAGACACACACTTATACGCAGATCAGTATCTTCATGTGTGTGTGTGTACACACATACATGTAATACAGGTACCAAGAGTTATCAATAATCATTGCAAAATGGCTTGTGTTGCTCTCATTCCAAATTTTATCACGTCAATTGACTTTCTGTTACAATGAATGTCTTTATGGCCTGGGTGTCTTTGTTTATAATCCAAGGGGCTGCAGAAATTCTCAATAGAATGTCACCCTTCCTAGGACAAGAGGCTGCCTCAGTCATATGACATTTAACTCATTTGTTTTCTTTTTTTTTTTTTTTTTTTAGACGGAGTCTCGCTCTGTCGCCCAGGCTGGAGTGCAGTGGCCGGATCTCAGCTCACTGCAAGCTCCGCCTCCTGGATTTATGCCATTCTCCTGCCTCAGCCTCCTGAGTAGCTGGGACTACAGGCACCCGCCACCTCGCCTGGCTAGTTTTTTGTATTTTTTAACAGAGACGGGGTTTCACCGGGTTAGCCAGGATGGTCTCGATCTCCTGACCTCGTGATCCACCCGTCTCGGCCTCCCAAAGTACTGGGATTACAGGCTTGAGCCACCACACCCAGCCTAACTCATTGTTTTCTATAGTAACCAGGAATGCATTGATTTGCTCACTCAATTCATTTATTTATTTAATTAGCAAACCGTTATTGAGCCAGCAACCTTATGCCCAGCCCTGTGCTGGGTGCTGGTGAACAACACAAAGTCTTTGTTTTTAAACGAAATCAGTTTTGTAAAGAGGATCTCTTTGAGAGAAAAGTGCATAAGTATATTAGTTAGGGTAATACTGACTCCTGAATCTCAATGGCTTAGCATAGCAAAGTTTATTTTTCACTCACTGAAAATCCCAAATGAGTCTACGGCCATACCACACTGAACGCAGCCGATCTTGTCTGAAAATCCAAAGTGGGTGCTTGTGATCAAGGGCACTTCTCCCCCAAGGGATGGTTACTTACAGTTCATGGTTACTTATAGTTACCATGGTTACCCAGCTTGCTTATAGTTCATGGCTACAGCCCATGAATGGCACAGAGGCTGTCGCGGAGGAGGTTTTCGTGGGCCTGCCCTGCCATTGACATACGTCAGTCACTATCATTCACATTGCACTGGCTGGAACTCAGTAGCATGTGGCCTCCCCTGACTGCACAGCAGGCTGGGAAATGTGGTCCACCCGTGTATCCAGGAAGAATAAGAAACCCAATTCAAAATTTAATATACTCGGTACACAACACATGTACACTTATGTGCACTGCAGTGTGTGCGTAAGTATGCAGTGCACGTAAGCATCTGTGTGTTGTGGGCTGAGTATATTACAATTTGTACTGGCCTTCTTAAATTTAAAAAGTAAAATGGACATTGGAAAAATTATAATGCAACAGAAATGAAAGAAGTGAGTTTCCCCTCGGTAACCCATAGTTCCACTCTCCAGGAGTTAATATCCCTGATAGTTTGATATGTTCTTCCCTAACTTGTGTGTGTGTATATGTGTGTGCATACATTTATATATACATACAGAGGTATAAAACATACAATTTCTTCCGGGCATGGTGGCTCACACCTGTAATCCCTTTGCTTTGGGAGGCTGAGGTGAGCAGATCACTTGGGGTCAGGAATTCGACACCAGCCTCACCATACAATTTATTTTAATCTAATTTTTATTTTTGTAAAGATAGAGTCTCACTCTGTCACTCAGGCTGGAGTGTAGTGATGCAATCACAGCTCACTGCAGCCTTGAACTCCTGGGCTCAAGAGGTCCTCCCACCCTTAGCCTTCCGAGTAGCTGGGATGACAGGTGCCATGCTACTGTGCCCAGCTCATTTTTAAATTTTTCTGTAGAGACAGAGCCTCACTATGTTGCCCAAGCTGGTCTTGGACTCCTGGCCTCAAGCGATCCTCCCGCCTCAGCCTCCCAAAGTGCTGAGATCACAGGCATGAGTCACTGCACCTGGCCAAAAACATTTGATTTCATATACCATACATGTTATACATATATGTGCACATGCTTTTTTTCATGCTTCCATACCACATTATGGTAACTCTGTTAAAAGACCCTTAAAGGACAGGGCTTCTCCATCAAGTCCGTGGGCAAGCCTGATTGCTGGTGGGGCAAGAACAAGGATATTGGGAATGTCTGCTGGGCAGGATGTGGTCCTCTGTGGGTGTCTCATACATGTCTTTGCCCTCCTAGTCTTGCCCAGAAGATCGTTGCAACCTACCGCCTGTGCTCGGAACAACTGTCCTCTCAGCATCACTATGACTACGGCATGCGTGCTGTCAAGTCTGTGCTTACTGCTGCAGGAAACCTGAAGCTCAAGTATCCAGAGGAGAACGAAAGTGTCCTGTTGCTCCGGGCATTGCTTGATGTCAACCTGGCCAAGTTCTTAGCGCAAGATGTCCCTCTGTTTCAGGTATGTAGCGGTTCGGAACCTTGGCTGAGGACCAAGGCTCAATGTTGGAAGATGAAACGTTGTCTTTGGTGCCTTCCCCATATCCTCTTCCATCTCCTGACATCTTCCCTTCTTTGGCCAGCATCTCTGCCACCTGATACCCTCCCTACAAATGTTAAATAATGAGTGATAGCAAACATCTCTGCCTGATTTTTAATAAAAATGGTTTCACCGATAGGATAATATTTGCTCTTGGGTATACATAAGTGTTTTTATCCAATTTAGTTAGTTTCCTTTTGTAATTAATTTAATCTTACTTGCCAGGCTCTGAGCTTCATAAAGACAGAAGTCATGACTATCTTGTTCATCCTAGTACAATGACTGGAAGATAATCCAGACTCACTAAATATTTGCTGACTTTTAAAATTATTTGGGGGAGAAATTATAGGGTCTTTTTTGTTTTGTTTTGTTTTTTTGAGATGGAGTTCTGTTCTGTTGCCCAGGCTGGAGTGCAGTGGCATGATCTCGACTCATTGCAACCTCTGCCTCCTGGATTCAAGTGATTCTCCTGCCTCAGCCTCCCGAATAGCTGGGATTACAGGCACGCACCACCACTAATTTTTGTATTTTTAGTCGAGACGGGTTTTCGCTGTGTTGGCCAGGCTGGTCTTGAACTCCTGAACTCAGGTGCTCCACCCACCTCAGTCACCCAAAGTGCTGGGATTACAAGCATGAGCCATGGCGCCTGGCCAGAAATTATGTTGTATAGTGTTTTCATTTGTAATTTTAGACAAGTTTTGGTGTAAGAAAAATGAGGTCTGGAATTTTTCAAAGATTTCTGTTGTTGGTACATCTCATTTTAGGAAAATGTTGAAGTCACATATCTGATACTTAATCCTTTCCACTTTCTTTTAAATTCTTTTTAACAGGGAATTATATCTGATTTATTTCCTGGAGTTGTTCTTCCAAAGCCAGACTATGAAGTTTTTCTGAAAGTGCTGAATGATAACATCATAAAGATGAAACTCCAGCCAGTACCTTGGTTTATAGGGAAAATTATCCAGGTTGGTTCCTTAACCCATGTAAATGTGCCTGTTTTACTGTTTGCTGGAGTCAGCAAACAGTAAAGACTTATAGGAGACTGGAACTGAAGTGACAGCAATCAGAGGTGCCTGTGTAGAAAGGCAAGTAAAACATTAGCTGGGCGTAATGGCCCATGCCTGTAGTCCCAGCTACTTGGGAGGCTGAGGTGGGAGGATGGCTTGAGCCCAGGAGTTTGAGGCTGCAGTGGGCTATGATCATGCCACTGCATTCCAGCCTGGGTGACAGAGTGAGACCCCAACTCTTAAAAAAAAAAAGAAGAAAGAGGGCCGGGCGCGGCAGCTCACGCCTGTAATCCCCGCACTTTGGGAGGCCGAGGCGGGCGGATCACAAGGTCAGGAGATTGAGACCATCCTGGCTAGCACAGTGAAACCCCATCTCTACTAAAAATACAAAAAATTAGCTGGGTTTGGTGGCGGGCGCCTGTAGTCCCAGCTACTTGGGAGGCTGAGGCAGGAGAAGGGTGTCAACCCGGGAGGCGGAGCTTGCAGTGGGCCGAGATTGCGCCACTGCACTCCAGCCTAGGCAACAGAGCAAGACTCCGTCTCAAAAAAAAGAAAAAAAAAAAAAAAGAAATAGAAAGAAATGGAGGTAAAACAAACAACCAAAACCCAAAAATCCACTTACTCACTCCATCAGTTTTTGTGTGTGTGTATTTGTTTGTTTTTGAGACGGAGTCTTGCTGTGTTGCCCAGGCTGGAGTGCAGTGGCGCAACCTCGGCTCACTGCAACCTGTGCCTCCCAGATTCCAGTGATTCTCTTGCCTCAACTTCCTGGGTAGCTGGGATTACAGGTGCATGCCACCACGCCCAGCTAATTTTTTAACTTTTTTTGTAGAGACGGGGTTTCACCATGTTGGCCAGACTGCTCTCAAACTCCTGACCTCAGGTGATCCTCCCACCTCAGCCTCCCAAATCCCATCAGTTTTGTGCTGTGAGATTTTAGGCAAATTAGTTCACCTCTTTTACCCTCAGTCATCTGTAAACTGGAGTAATTTTGAGAGAAGAGGTGTGTAAAGCGCTACACATAGTACCTGATGCTATATCATTATCAACTCCACCATCTCCGCCATCATGGTCAGCACCATTGGCATCAGCACTTCCCAAGTCACAATGCGAGTTACAAGTGAAGTTCACGTTAGGACCCAGGTCTCCAGATTCTGAGATCACACTGCCTTGTGGTAAAAATAATCACTTTTTCCCTACTGTATTAGCAAGTGAGCTAGTTTTTGACACAACTCATTTAACCCAATTTTGAACCCTAATTTATGATTGAGATTTTGCAGAAGGACCATTCTTTAACTAGGCATGAGCTTTAATTTTCAATATTTTATTACGAAACATTTTAAACATGCAGAAAAATGGAAAGAAATGTACAGAGAACACTCATGTACTCACCACTCAGATTTTACAATAAATATTGTATATTATTTGCTTTATTATTTATCCATCCATCCATCCATCCATCTTACTTGTTGATGTATTTCAAAGTAATTTGAAGACCTACAGATGAACTTTCATATAGCTTAGTACCAATGTACAAAAACAAGGTAATATTTTCAAAAACAAGGTGTCTGGAGCTACCTGCCCTTTTGCATATTGACGTCACAATGTGAGGAGAAATTTGAGAGGCTATGAGTGATTAATGTCTTCCTCTCTTATTCCTTTGTTTTTTATTTTAGACAGAGTCTCCCTCCATTACCCAGGCTGGAGTGCAGTGACTTCATCTCAGCTCACAGCAACCTCCACCTGCCAGGCTTAAGAGATTTTACTGCCTCAGCCTCTCGAGTAGCTGGAATTACAGGCATGCGCCAGTATGCCCAGCTAATTTTTGTATTTTTAGAAGACATGGGGTTTCACCACGTTGGCCAGGCTGGTCTCAAACTCCTGACATCAAATGATCCACCCACCTTGACCTCCCAAAATGCTAGGATTACAGACGTGTGCTACCAAGCCCAGCCTTCCTCTTATTTCTGATGCACAGTCAAGCTTTCAAACCTACCTGAATGTCAACCCTACTAAATGGTTAGGGATTTTGTCTTGTTCTCTGCTCTGTAACTTTCAAACAGTAGCTTTCAAACCTACCTGAATGTCAACCCTACTTAACGGTTAGAGATTTTGTTTGTTTTGTTGTGTGCTCTGTCTACAGCACCCAGAATGGTGTCTGGCACATAGTAGATGCTCAACAAATATTTGCTGAATGACATGTGTTCCTCTCTCTACCATTCCCATTGTCACTACCTTCATTTAGATGCTTCTTATTGCTTACCTCCAAGGTGAAAAATAATAAGAATTTATCTTTAAAATAAAAAGCTGCTTGTGTTCCCTTTCTCTGAGGGAGTCATAGTCTAAAGGAGGAAATTTTTTTAAGCCATAAAATTCACATAAATGCAAATGACCAAAGCAGATCTCAAGAAAGAAAGTTTCCAGGAGAAACACAGTTTGCTAAAATGACCGCCATTTTCTTTTTCTCTTTAAAAGTAAATGGCAATAGTGTCATGAAAATATTAGAGGCATTAAAGTCAAATAGCTCTGTCTGCAAATTCTGGCTCCATCACTGATGAACTTGGGCAAGTATTTAACCTCTCTTGGGCTCAGTCTTACCTTTTGTAAAAGGTGGTCAATGATATCGGAGGAGATTAAATAATTTGGGTTATCAGTTGATTCTTAACATAGACAAGGTACAGAGCAAATGGTAGTTCCCGGCCTTTAAATAATCTGAGATGCATACATGTATTTATTCATCTGAAAGATATGTGAACTGTAGATTACGAAAAGAACCGTAGCTCTCCAGAGGTAGAAGCGACTGTGAGAATCCTCTTCTGACTCCTCATTCCTCATTGACTTCTGACTAACTCGTAATAGGGGAGCGTTGCAATGATTAACTTCTTTTATGAATGATGTCTCCTCCCAGATCTACGAAATGATGCTGGTGAGACATGGTTACATGATTGTGGGAGACCCCATGGGCGGCAAGACCTCTGCTTATAAAGTGTTGGCTGCAGCTCTCGGCGATTTACACGCAGGTGAAGCTCACGTCCCTGGCTTCCAGGGAGGACAGAACTCCTCGCTCGGTTGGCTGGCTCCATGGAGATAATGCCAGGCTGCTAGTCTTATCAGGTCTCGATCGTGACGTCAGAGCTAGAAATAGAACACGACACACAGATGTCTGCAAGCAGAAAATAAAGGGTGGGGGTGGGGTGCTTCTATAATAACAAGGGATTTCGTGTGCATATCATTAAGGCCTGGAAGAATTTTCTCAAATGCCGAGCAGTGGTTTCTCCGAAGGTCCCCCAGTGAAAGAGAAACTCTTGTCATTGGCCTTAAAATTAGTCTCAAAGCAAATCATTGCATGGTTTTGCTTCTTCTATTCTTCTTTCCCTGTTCCCTTCCTTTTAGTTTTTTCCCTCCCTCCCTCCCTTCTTTCCTTCCTTTTAAAGTCAAGGATAGGAGCTCCTACTTTTGAATCAGACTCAGACTTGGGCAAATGACTAAACCTGTCTTATCCTCTGTTTTCCCAGCTGTAAAATGGGATTGTTGTGAGAATTAAGTGACAGTATGCAGGTAAATAACTGAGCACAGTGCATACTCAACAAACAGAAGCTATGTTTATTGCCAGAGAAACAATTGTGGCTTTTGTCTGTGTGAGTGTCTGTTTTGTTTGTTTTTATAAAACGCAAATCTGTAGTTTTATAAAAGCATTTCCTTTTTGTGCACGCATTGCTTCAAGTTTTTCATTAAAAATTTTTTTCTAATAATATTTGATGATTGGTTTTTGAGGTTATGTTTTGGGGGTTATCCTAGCCTTAATAACTAATTTGGGCATCTCAAATTTAAGTAAAAATTTTAAGGCAGAGTACAGAGGCTCACACCT